CACCCGACAACCAACTGCTATGCAATACTACTGTCCGATTATCAATTTGTATTTAATGGTGAATGTAGTCTGACGCCATGACCAATATTTATCAACTAAGTTTCAATGGGGGGTAGGGGGTTTGGAAAAAAACTGAAGGAATTAAGTTTTTTATCAGACATCGATCTTTTGACGTCGTCCCTAACATCACTCTATAATCATGTTGTATGAATGAACACAGTCCTGTCTCCACTCAGCAGAGTTGGACAGGTGTTTCTATAGGTTGTTATAATGACATACTCAAGCTAGTAGATTTTTCCGTTCAATTTCAGTTATCATGCTAAAAACACATGATGGAAACCAATCTTTTGTTTTATGAATCAACTGCTTCAATGAGCAAATTCTTCATTTTCAAAAGTCAATTCCAAAAATACAGTTATTTGAGGCATGGTGCAAAACTTTGATTGACTACATATTTTCCTTTTTTAACGTGACCAAACTGCCACTCCAGGTGGTGCAGACTGTAGACATTTCATTATACCAAGCTCTTTTTCAGCTCGATGATCAATCATTTGATGTTCTATAAAAGTCAAACATCCTCCCATACATCTACCCTCACGGTATGATCATTATTCCTAATACAGGAATTGAATGGGTAACAAATATTTTCATTACAAGTGTATTTATAGAGGATAATCAGTTAGGCCATATAGAACTATATTCCATAGATCCTTTCCTTAAAGTTGCAGTTATTATAAGTGAAACCAAGACATGATGTCACAAGGATACTGTAAGCACACAGCCCAACAGTTTTACATCTTCTCCCACTGGACACCATTTTCCAAGCCTGAATGTTGTTGATCTGGCAAGTGTACTCTCTGCTTGACTGCTGAGCGCACAGCCAACCATGGAAGGCAAACCCATAATGTGTAATGTACATCAAGTAATTACACCAAAGGTTTAGTAATAATAAATCATCCAAAAACCTGCTTTTTTCAATGCAATACAACTCACTTTCGTTCAGCATACATGATTTATCTGGCTGCGGAAAACACAAAACACATACAAACTGTGAATATCTCCTTTTCATCATACGGAGCAGCAGAATTTGTATATCAATATATTATATAATGTATGTATTAATTACTTCTAATTTACTGTACCTTGGTGTTATTTCTGAAAATCTGGCTCTATATACATCCAATCTTGCATTAACTATGTGAACAAAACATTGACACCATTAGATATTATAGAAATGGTATATGAACCACATGTATTAGGAGAAGAAGTTTATATGTGTATAACCATCAATTTTGCACCATGGTAGACTATTGGTGAGATATTTTTGCATATACCCACATGTGGGTGATGTTTTAGAGTTTGGGTCATATTTTTTGTCAAATGCAAAAACATCACCCAGTGCGAGCATAATCGATTAATCGCTATTTCAATTCAACATAGACTAAATGAAGTAGTCGTGACAAGGTTGCAAGATATTAAGAATATTGCAGTCGTTTTTTTTAATTTCAGCGTTAGGCGAGAATGAAAAGGTACTAAAACATGATGAACAAAAAGTTTTTACAGGAAAAAATAGTTGTCATTTTCTTGTGATAACAAAAACATTAATAGTATGCATTGGTTTTAATTTTGTTGAGTATAGAACAAGTTTCAATAAAAACAAAACACAAACGTTTTGACTTGGTTGTGATGTAACAAGGTACAAAATAGCAGTTTGCCGGTTTGCAAGTAAAATTCAACTTATTTTCATCTTAAGCATTGGTCACATGCAAATGATACAAAATTATATTCAGCATGTTTGTTTTATGTACGAGCTGACCTGAAACTGTTTCATTTGACCTCATAAGTTCTGCTAGTTGTTAACCAATCAGAATGCTGGTTGGTACTAGCCAAATGTATTCAGGAATTTCCGAATAGCATTGAATGGTGAACACAACACAAGCAGAAGTGATTTATATAAGTGTAGCAGTACAATCTTTTGGCATTGACTTTGGTGAAAATCTGCACTTTTTTTAAAGAAACAGAAAACTGTGATTTTTGGGAGACAAACTGATAATTGAAGTACTGGTTGTATTTAACTCTTTTTACAAGGATAACAGCTCACTGTCAAAATAGAGTACACCCATTCACGATTGACACAATCTTGAATTAGAAAACTCACTTCTGAAATTCAGATCTGTACCAGACAATGAAACAATGTGGCAGTAACTATATTTTTAAAGGAATGAAAAAGAAGGTATAAACTTATTTGTAAGAATACATCAGTTTCAGTATTTTGTCCTATACTAACAAGTGATAGAACTTGTTCTCAAAAAAAAATCTCTTGCCTTTTCTAACACTTCCATTTTTGTGAAACTGTATTGATCAACATCAAACATACTCTAGAATAATTACATTACCATTGGTACATATATCGATTATTTCATATCCAATATTTTCACCTTCTCTGTCACCATCTGTCCATATAATCAATATCTTGCATTGTCTGGCCTCACGTTCTAATGTTCTCTAAACAAAGACAATACAGCAATCAAGATAAATGATCATTTTTATCACCCAAACACGTAATTTTTTGGTGATAATATTACATTAAAGTGAGAGGGTCGTCACCTGCGCACATGCGGGAATTGAGTCCCAAGTGATGATAACACACGCTAAAAACGCAAAAGCTCATGCTTGTTTGTAAACAATGACACGCTATGGCCATCTGACGCATGCGCAGGTGACGACACCCTCGGTTTAAGTGAGAACATGTGATAAGAACTGAACATTCTGAATACATGAACCATAGGATGTTATTTGTACTAACTTTTATGTCTTGAAAATCTTTGCATAGTTTTTCTACTGGAGCATCAAATAACATTGCAGGATCACAACCAAGCCTACCGAGAATGAAAATGTTAAGATGATAAATGACTAGTGAGATCCTGATTTGCATTTTGTTGTTACATGTACAGTCAAACTTGTGTTATGGTAGTAATTATCTCTATATAATGACCACTTGCCAATAGTGACCACTTTTTGGCAATACCAAAGCATAAGCTATGACAACCAAAATAATAATTATCATTCAGTTAATAAAAAAATTTCCTCAAGTTAAACTTGTTTGATTTTCAAATAAACGTGTTTTTGTTGCAGGAGTAGCATCTTATTGTTTTCTGGACAAAAATTATATCAAATGTATGAGTTTGTGATCCATAAAAAATAATACAACCTCCATATAAAGACCATTTTAATGAAGTCTCTTGGGTAGTCGTTCTACACAGGTTCAACTTTACCTTGGTATTTTATAGACGCAATTTTTATTGAAAACGTAATGGTTCAATCTAAGCTTGATTAGTATATCTATCAAAGGATAGCCTGGCCTTCATCAGTGTTTTCGTGTATATGATTTTTTTTTCTTGCTCTGATGTAAAATTGCCCAAGGTGGTTCCTTCTGGGGCATATTCATTGCTATTAATTAGGCAGTGAAGTTATCAAATGAAATCTTGGAACACTTCCAATTAAAGAAAAATCAGGTCAGATTACAAGCTGCCTTAGAAGTATTGGTTGGCATCTTAGAATTCACACTACATTTAGCATAAAAGCTGCACGAAAACATGGTGATACAAAATATCACAATCAGTGCACTCAGTTTTTCAAACATAACCCTTTTTTTTTGCCACTTACAAATAACACTGGTTTCTATGAAATGACATACATTTATTTCACTTAGTAAAACCGCTAGACCTATTTCATACAGCAGAAAATACAGACTTACCACTTTTGATAAACTCCTATGAACTCATAATTTGATAAATGTCCAGATACTGAAGTCATTGTCATTTTACAATTTCTATTCAGGATATTAAAATCCCATTCATATATCTTATTATATACGGAGAACCCTTCTCTCTGAACATGAGGAAAACAAAAAAATTAGGTCACAATATTGAAGAACACTTTCTACATGTAAATTAACATCATAAATTGTAATCATGCATCATAGAAAGTGAGTACAGTAGGTAATCATACACAGTACGATAGTTCTTATTTATAATACAACATGCTGACCATGTGGGCTCTTATTGGTGCAGCCCAGTTATCAGGTAATAACTACCATAGGCAGTGCTTAGTGTCAATGTATGAAACGACGAACCAAATTGTGTGTGAGTGAACAATATTCACTGTTTTTACACATTTGTATGAATCATTATCAATTCTTTCTAATTGAGGAATCCTGGTCATTTTCATCTGGAAAATAGACCTATGAGTCTGTGTTTTCACATGTAGTTTGCTTGTTGTACGAGTACACAGAAATATGATGTGCAAAAAACAAACTTCTCTTTTTCAACCACAACACAGCGTACATGTACATGTTCAAGTCTTTTGATATTTAGTTGCATTACAATTGAAATAAAATATTCTTCACTTCTCATTATAGTTTGATAGAAGGGATCGAGCAAGATGTTTGCTTAAATAATAGAACTTGACTGCATCCCACCTATATTTTACACATCCCATCTTTGTCCAATTATTTATACAATAATGAATCCCCAACAGTGCCATATTGGATGAGGAGACAGGTCTATGGCAAAAACTTTATCATGTCTAGACACTTCTCAAAATCAAATATGATATGTAGAAATTCATTATTGTTGTTGTAATACAGCATCATCAGTATTAAACAAATCTAGTTATAATGCGATAATGTGAAGCCATGACGTCATACAAAGCTCTAATTCTGATAATGGTGATTCATAACGATATGGGCAGTGCGCTAAGTAATAATTCAAAATGTTATTCTGGGAAATGTTTCTTTTCTCATTACTATGATTACCAACTACTTCTTATATCAGTTTGAGTCGCTAGCTGTTTTCAATTTTACTGTGAACAAAAAATCTACCCAACCAGCAGCATTGCAATATAACTCACTGTTTTTCTAACAAAAAAGTAATATTGATAGTTAAAATGTAACAGTTTGTAATAGTAATCTGCTACCAATATTGTTACTTTGTTAGCAGTGAGCAATTTTGGAGTATTGCTGGTTGGGTTGACTTTTCCTCACAGTAAGGGGGGGGGGGGGC